TCTCAGTCACAAATTAAATGAATTAAAGTGATAAGATCGTTTCTCGTGGATTAAGATCGACTGGCGCTACAAAACAAAAATATTATCTTGGAGACGATAGGGGGCAGTGCGAGCGAATTGCAATAAGGCGATGGTCAGTGCTACGACATTTGTCGAGCGTTTCAAAATAATATGTCATGTTGTAACTTGTAAGTGGGAATTCATAGTGAAACATGACGATAAAATAATTGTAAAATGACGATATTAGTAAATCATGTATCGAGTGCTTAACTCGTAGCTGACACTTGCAATTGAAGGAGGAAAATAATTGTCTTATTTTGGTTGATTACATATCTATGTATTCGTTTACATGCATAAGCAGTGTTTACATACATATTTCTTTCAATGGTGTGAATTACGATTAGTCGAACAAGGAACGCAATTTATTCGATACGAAGAGTGATGATGATATTACTACTGAGGAATTTGGAAGAGACTTACAAGAAGTGATTTATGATTTTAGGTTATTGTTTTTCAACTCTTTCGAGGTATTGACATGTATAGTTTAAATTATTTGAATTCTCATTTGATATTTAGAAATGTATTTCAAATAAATATAATTAAGAAGTAATAAATCTTTCTCTGACTTTAATAAATTTGTCTTTAAAGAGGTTAAGGAAATGTAGAATCATGTAGTGGGTTTCTTCCTCTTTACCAATCACTTCCACTTAGGGACAGATACTTGAAAGTTTCTGAGCTATTTGCCTTTGCAACCGTGAAGGCCGGAGTTGATACGTCCCTTCTAAGAATCTTTCTTCCACTTGTTTACGTTCTATTGAAAACATTAAATGGAAAAATATGTTTCAGGATAAAATATCAAATTTATTAATTCATTCATGCCAATTTTGAAGTGGCATTTTAACAAGAAAAATTAATTCGAAACGAATTAACGATTTGCATCTAAATGTACTTTCTTGGATACTTTTACACAGCAAGAAATCTGGTTGATATTATATATTTGTTCATTTAGTTTCATTAATATTCACGCACGTAGAAATAAAATTAATAGCAGGGCAAAAGATAATCTTTAGAAAAGTTGTACGCCTATAATATCCATGTATCATTAGGCAACGTGACACGTGTTTCAGTCAAGCGGAAAGTAAATGATTAAAAATTCTATGAATTTTTAGAAAAGGTGATAAATAAAATCTATTATATAATATGTAAATCAGAGAAGTTATACTCTCCTCATTTTTTAATTTTAGTTTCAGATATTTTATTAATTTATACTATTAATTTAAGAATTATTAATTATTAATTTTTATGAAAATTTCAGTAAAATTTTATAAAAAAAGTTAAAGAAAGAATATTCTTCGTATTTGATTTCACATTTGGATTTGTTCAAGAAGACTGGAAAATTATTAATCTATGACCAACAAATTTGAGAAAGCAATAAATCATTAAAATTTATATCGAATCTAAATAATATGAATTGCATAATATATATAATATTTCTTAATAAAGTAACCATGGAGGATAAGATGTAACAGATATCAGAGGCAAGATAAAATATCTAAGCATTCACATCAAGGAAAAAAAAGCAAGTACAATATTTAAATAGGAGATGTCAGCGTAACGAAACGAAATGATCAGTATCTTTATCTTTTACATAGCCGACCAAGCGTTATCCTATTGTTTCGCTCTCATTAAATCGTAAGTAGTCCAAAAGATAAAGAAACAACCAGGACCAAGTCCAGGTAGAAAACAACGCGACATAAGTGTAAATAATTGGTAGACAAAAATTAAAATATTATTTAAACAGACATTTTGAATAATATTGCATGACGAGGAAAAATGTCTGATTTTGTTCTTAAATCGAAAAAACAGCACGTACAAGAGACCCAATTAACACGAATGAACGTGCAGAAATTATAACGAAAACATTGCGCCGCAATAAAGGTCATTAAATAAGGCAAAAAAATAACATTCACATATTTAAGGAATATGTTAAAAGGTCCCACTCCAGAACAAAAATTGGTTTACAGACGTGTCACGAATATTTAAAAATCTTTTAAAATGTTCGATGCAATTTATTCAAAGAAACGTATTATCTAATGAAAACGGCATACAGAATTTAATAATATTATAATTCTAGACTCGAGTTGTCGTCCAGATTTCTCTAGGATCTTTTTCATTCGGTTCTCCAACTACGACGATACTACGAGGAATAATGTAATTGCACTTGCTCGAGGCATGGACTCAGAAAACCTACCAAATGACTCGTCAGAATCATTTAAGATGAAAGTTCAATACAAAAGTTCTTGCCAGCTTAGATTATTCAAATCGAACGAGAATGTACATAAGTACATTGGCTGTGTACAATGTTTTATCCTCTGTTTCCTCTTCGCGGAGGTCTGTTGGAAGGTAAACGTTTTAGGAGAGAGCCACTGGTTGCTCGATCAGTTCATATAGCTGACTACGAAGTTTCTCTAGAGCTTCGAGGGGATATGATCTTTGACACTGTCTCGGTTGGCTTTGATGTCGTGGGTGTAAACTGGCAACCGATGTTGGCTCTCAGGTGAGAGGAAGCGAGCATCTTCTATGGATTTAGAGTGATTAGAGTGTATGGGCCAATGTTATATATGAGCCAACTAAAGCGTTGCATGCTATTTTCGTGCAACACTTTGACACGAAACTTTCAGTGATCTGAAACCACTGTAGGTGTGCATACGAATTTTTATTTTAATCGAATTAGTGAGAATGCTTAATATATAGAGTATAATAATATAGAGTTACAATGGATTTCCTCCTGCGAATATATGTCTGCAGAGTATAGAGTTCTACGAAAGCTTGGGTTTAACTTATTGCGAGTTTTAATGTTTGTAGGATGGAAAAAAGTGCTTTTCAAGCAAATATTATGGAATGGATGGACTATCATGTAGAAAAAAAATGCGAAGCGTTAAATCTCTTTCTTCAGCAGTAACTTAAAATGCTAAATACAAAAAAGGCGTCAGTTGCTTGAAAAAAAGAATCTAAATCTGTGTCACATCAGTTGTACAAAAATCACTTTGGAGAAGTAACTTAATGCAAATAAAATTGTAGAATTTGTAATGGAACTTAAGTAATTGTTTAATTTATAAGTTCTTGCATTAATGTTGTCTAAGTGAAATGATGTTTCTTTTCTAACATGTTAACGCTTATTTAATAGTTTCACGATTGTTGTTTTGTTCTTCATTGCTTTTAGAATATTTAGTAAGTTGTCTTGTTGAAAAATGACACTTTTTTGTTAACCAGTTGTATTTTTCTTTTTCATTGCTGTTTTTAACGTCCAATCGAGGACGATATTCGTCACATTCCAGCATTTCGTTATTTAATAAAGATTCTTCACGAATGATTCACTGAATAAATGGCAGAATGTAACGCCTATAAAGTCGAAAATACTGTGAACTTTTAAAGAACATTTATTGAGTTCCGTTGACAACGCATATAGCGATTAAAATTCTAGAGCTATTTACTTAAACAATTCTTACGAAATTTGCTCTCCAAATATTTACGAATTTGATAACAGAAATGCAATGTAAAATCAAATGTTTCATCGAATAATTCAGAACAGTGTACAACTCGAATCTTCATCTCAAATCCAAGAAACCAGTCTTTTTCCAAAACGGTAAGAAACAAGAAAGATCTTGCAGAGACCAAAGAAATTTACGTACAAGTCTGTGGTTTCAAATGGTTTCATGCTCTTTATTTATTATTATACAAACCATCTCTTCTTATATCACGCACACGTATAAGACAATTTCTAAAATACTCTTTTCTGTTTTTCAGCAGAAACAACCATACCGTGACAATCCAATTCGTTGTAAAGACGAATCAAGAACACTCTCTAAATACAAGGAAGAGAGAGGTAACTCTCAATAATTATCAAGAACAAACGTCGCACCTCCCTCAAGTAATTGCTCCCTTTATTCAGCCTTTTCTACTATCTACAACCGTGTAATAGTTAAACAACGTTCTATGTACAAGAATTTCATAGCATTATGGTACACGGATCGCCAGTAAATACGCTTTTACGACTTTGGTCCTTTCTCTGGCACTTTTTAGAGGCGCGTGTGTCAGGTGAAAACAGCTGCTTGTACACCTGAAATCTCTCTCCCTCTCCCCCCCTCTCTCTCTCTCTCTCTCTCTCTCTCTCTCTGTGTGTGTCTGTCTCTTTCTCTCCCTCCCCTCTCTTTCTTTCTCCATCGAGAAACGTAGTCGTTTTGCAACAACCTTTATCGCGGAACGATAAATCGAAATCGTACGATCTAACATCCGAATGGTACCCCGACAAACGTCGAGCAACCGTGACCATTGCCTTCCGTCATCGCGTGGCTACCTTCGAGGTTTCTCCTTTTTATTTCTCGCGTATGCATAATTTAATTGAATATCAGTTAATTTGGAAATTTTTGCCGGTTCTTATTCTTCTTCCTTTTCTTCCTTTTTTTTTCAGCGACCAGTGCCGAGATTTCCCTGAAAAGTGTGTCGGATTGCACGCAACGTCTTCGCGCAACAATTCCTGGGCTATTGGATTTCGTAGAAAGTACACGTTGGTTCCAGCTCGACGGTTGTTCGAAGACGAAGTTACAGTTAGACGTAGGTTTCGTGTACGAACGGAGAACGAGGTGACCCGCGGAGGGTGACGAGTTGTACGGTGTGCCTCGTGGACACTTGATGATTGCTCTTGATCCGAATGTCGAGACTGATTTAACTTTTTTGAAAATGTAGATACACGTTATTTATAGAAGCACAGAATTCTTCTCGGAGCCTAATACAACGTTGGACATGAATTTTTTGAAAGGACCAACTTTCATACAAGTGATATTTGCACTTTGAACTCCTTGTAACTTTAAAAGAACGTATTCCATAACAGCTGTACACAAACCCGCATAAATAATAATTTTAACTAAAAAATTAAGTAGATGTACAATGTTCTTACTCATAGAAAGGTATTAAAAGGATTCATTTTAGCATGGCAGATTTATAAATTTGTTTATCCTGTGTAATATATGAGCACATGTCAATGTGCATAAATTGTATTTAGAATTAACGGAGCATAAATTTTTTAGATCCTTGACTCAAGATTGAACGATAGTGATTTCTAAATCTCTGTTCACAAAATGATTTCAAGCATTAACTGAAAGGGAAATATGCGGAGGGCAAAGAGTTGTTTATCACATTGCTATTTTCCAACGTCGAAAGTCATCGTTCACACGTGACCACGGTTGGCCAAGGAGCTTCCAGAAGGACGTCCATTATTCAGTTACGTTGATAGGACACACGTCTCAAACACTGTTTCCTGTAAAAGGCATCACAGAAATCAATTTTTATCTTTTTTAACAAGATTGGAAATTGCTAAAAAGAAATGAATTATCATATTGTGTATCAGATCAGTCTTCTCTTAACATGCACCACAGGTCTAGAAACTATACACAGCGTATATGTAAACCTTACGTTTGCATTTTTAGGAATTTAATAGAGACGATTGCCGTGACTGCTTGGACGTGATGATAAGTAAATAATGTCATGGAATTAGATAGAAAAGAAAAAAGAAGAAAAAGAAAACTATGTATTTTGTATTCATACGAATATTTATTCAGAGTTATGACCTTGTTCTAAATTATCATGATTTCTATTTTGTCTACTCATTTCTGTTTGTAGAAAATTTTATCATTGATATTCTGATCAACTTGTTATTATTACAAGTATAGAATGAAATGATTTGTAAGACAAGATGATATGTATATATTCTATTAGAGAGCAATAATCATAGTCAATTAATTAATAAGCATTGGATCGTCTGTTATTAGTCATTAAAACGTGAATTATCTACCACGTTTTTTTTATTATGAATCAGAAATTATATTAACAAGTCTCCTGTTATGAATTAGAAATGTTTAGGAAATGTCTTGGCACGTGTTGAAATAATATCGTGTACGAGTGGCATTTACCTGGCGTGGTACCCAAAGTGCTATGATTGAAACCTATCCAAGATTATTTGACTACTCAAGGTTATTTCACCCGTGAAATATCATTACGAAATACTTGTAGTTACAAAATTATTCAGATATATGTATAATTTAACTTCTGAGCATTTTAAATGAACTCAAGAGTGCCATATTAAATGACAGTGATGAAACGGTGAGACAACCAGGACAAACTTCTTGCATAAATTTCAAAATTTAAATTCTGAAGAATTTGTGTAAAGTCAGAATCGAATCAAGGTAATATAAGTACCAATCTAATCAAAATGTCTGGATAGAAACATTTTGTTTTTTGAAAATATGCAATTGCTCTTGGCAAAATTATTATTAATTTCTATTGAGTCATAAACATAATTATATGTACCTATTTATTTTTATTGTATATATTGTATGTTATTCTTTAATTATTATTATCTATGTATACTATATATATGAGTGTACATTACAGGTTGGCGGTTCCAGTGTTAGAGATGAGATACAGGTGAACAGACAAGATACTTCAAAAGGAAGGGTTGCAATACATAAATAATATTGCCGAAATGAAGCACTCGTGACTTTGAACAATCAACTGATTTTAAACCAACTATACCTTATCCATATCTCTCACTGATATCACCCTAGCTCGTTGTTCCCAATTACCACAGTCTTTGTGTCTTCAATCTCAATACGTGGGGGAACGAGCGTGTTCAACCAACGTTGAGTGGTTATCACCGACCTCGTTGTGAATGAATCTCGACGATATCTTATCGGATATCCTCATCGAAATGGACCTATTCCCAAATTTAAAGGCACCATTTGTACCTTGAGGATATGAGGGCAATGCTTCCAATATTCGAGGAGGATTTCGTTTCATCGTTTGGTTCAGCAAGGTACTCTTGTTGATCGAATTTTCTTCCAATATCCAACCAGGTCGGCTAATCCGTCCAGTTGATAGACGTTGTGTAGGTTTGTAACCATCCAGGTCACCGATCACTGGTGCACTGCTTTGCAAATTCAGAGCGTTCAGTTGAAGATGGTTGCCTCCAAGTGGAACCATATCCTCCGAACCACCTGACCTGCTAAGTCGACTGCATGTTTCTGTAATGCATTTACAATCATTGCACATGATTTCTTGCAATATGCGTGGTAGATATTCGAGCCTAAACTCGAGTTTAAGTACAAACGTGGATTTAGAAATTAGCAAATTATACTTGAAATTTATGACTCTATCGAAACGAATCCAACTTTCATCCACGAAATACTCTATCTATATAATCAGTTCTGATTCTCAAACATTATTTATTTTAATGTAAAAACTGCACTTTATCTAAAAGCTGTTAGTAACTATCGTATATCCAAGATTTTCAGATTTAAATCTTATCATACACAACTATATCAATTTTATATTGTCACTGACCAAACGTTTTTGCTTCCCTGACATGAGCCAGTAACTTGTCAATTCTATTCCGCCGGAAATACGTGTCCACGATATCTGGCTTCTTGACCTCTTCTTGTTCACTGCTCTCCTCGCTATCAGCCTCGTTGCCAATCTCATCCTCATTGTCCTTGCCATTACTATTATTGTTAAGATCAGGTTTGGAAGGCACTATATTGTACTGTACGTTATCTTTAGGCACTAACGACGCTGGAGGAAGAGAAATATGTGGCGTCACATCCGGCAATCTCCAACGACCCAACTCATCGCACCAAGTGGCCGCAGATCTGAGAGCAGCGACATCGCGAAATGGACATCCGGGTCGAAGATGAGGAACCATCACGTCGCATATCTGAGAGATGAGCAGTTCTCTACGCAAAAGATCACGCCGCTCTGCGTCCCAGGAAGCTTGAAGATCAGCTGCTTCCGCTTCGAGTTGCTTCACTCGCTTGGCCATTCGCTTTAGAGCATCTTCTGTGGATCTGTATAAGAAACAATTTCCAGGTAAGATCTGTTTATCGTTTCTAATTATAATAATATGAATCTGAAGTATTTATCGATTAATAGAGAATTATGGTATTCTGTTTCATTATTTTATGACAATATTATTTATATTATTTATTATTATTTACACATCATTTATATAATTGCTTCTCTACCCGTATCTGAAACTTTCATTTTTATTACTGACCTCAATTGACCATAAACTTGGAAGACACTTCCGTTTCCTTCCTGAGCACTAGTCTCCAAAGCTGTGGCAAGAGCTGCTAGCTTTTTTCTTCTCTTTTCTCGACGTCTCCTCAGTTCCGTGTTCCCTTGCTCTTCTCCTCCAATGGTCAACTTCTCTAATCTCTTCAACACCTCTTGCATAGCCGCCTCTCGTTTCTTTCTTCGTCTTTCCTCTCGTTCCAGATCCTGCTCGTCTATTGCCTGCTGAGGAACAGGCTTGGTACTCGTGTTATTAACGCCATCAGCTTCATAACGGATCTTCAGAGACTCCAGTTCCTCCCGAAGCTTCTGAGCCGACAAATTTGAATGTTCACATTCTTTCTTTAATCTCTCGACTTCATCGGCGTATTCTTTTTGCTGAGTACTCTCTCCATCGTCGCTTCCTTCCTTTACTGGAAGCTCCTTTATGAGTAACGGGTCATTTGACTCGAGTAGCTTTTTTAAACGTTGTAGTTCTAACTGATATTGCCTTAACAGAGCATCCTTCGGATCTTCGTTGATCACAGGCTTGTTTTTGATGCATCGAGCTCTAGCTGCATAGCGCAAAGTACTCAGTGTCTCTTCGCCATCCACGTCGCTGGGACTTACACAAGCAATCATCAGAGTCCTTGCATTCCCACCAAGACTGTCTCTTAGGAGTCTGGTTAGCTTGCTGTCTCTAGAAAACGAATTTTAAAGGAATGTTTAATAATTTTGTAATTGACATTACATGATATATATTATTTTATAATAATTTTCATACCAAGTTTCTCAGAGAATTCATCCAGACGATTGAAGATGAAAACCATCTAGTACGTTGACTTACCTATATGGCACATGCCTTCCATGACCAGCAGCCAAAGCGCTGATCACATTTCCCAAGGCAGAGAGGCTTAAATTAATACTAGCAGCCTCTTTCAGTCTGTCTCCAGTGGCACCAGTCCTCGTCTGCCTCTCAGACCCAGCAAGATCCACCAGGTGAAGTCTTCCTCTTTTTACAGTATTCTCAGTCTTACTGTTCTCCTCGTTAATTGCCAGTGTCTCTAACGACAGTGTCAGTACAGCGTGACTTCTAGAACTAGCTGCGTTCATTTTGGTGGCTGCAGCAGCTCTTCTTCTATCACCCTGTTCGACTAGTCGTGCACACTCTGCAGCATCTTTCACCGTGACCTCCTTCAAACCACCAGCCACGTAAGTTCCACGAGTGGGATCCTCTTTCAAGGTCAGAAGATCGCTCATGCCATCTTGCAGGAGATCCCGTAATCGTTCGTTATAAATTTCCAGGTAACTGAGCAAGGCCAGGTATCTCATTTCAGCGCTAGCTGTCGATGTGGCCTCGAAAATATGGTCCAGGGTACGTTCGATGAATCCTCGCATCGTGTGAGATTTTCCACAGCCTGTTTGTCCGTAGGCAAACACGGTACCGTTGTAACCATCCAGGACAGCCTCCACGATGACAGAACCGACATTTTCGTAGACGGATTCTGTGGTGGCTTCCGGGTCGAAGGCGGCGTCGAATTGATACACCTTGCCATTTCCGGTTCCCGCTGCAGGACACTCGAGGGTACAACATTTCGACGATGAGTCGATTGTCATAATGTTCTGCAGAATTGACGGTAAGTGAATTTTTGGATTTTGAGATAGAGTGAAAGATTGGTGAATTTTTGATATAGTTTACACTACTAGATAATTGTAATTTTATTCTTAGGTATACGAATAAAAATAAATAAATTGAAGATATTAATAAACAAAAAGTTAATAAAGAATATTGTTAAGTAATAAAAGAAACGGGTAAATAGAAAAATATATGTATATAATTTTTTTCTAAATAACATTAAGCACCTAGGGACAATATATACGTATTCGATATACATAAAACTTTGTAGTATAGGAAGAACATAAATGCTTTTAAATGGTCGTGTATTTATTGTCTGAAGACTTTTGAAGACTAAAGAACTCCACTAGAATATTTATCAAGCGAAAAGGATTAAATGGAAATCCCATTTGAAATCAACGTTAAATTCAAGGAATTTGAATATGTCATAAAACTGTATTATGTCATAAAAGTATGATTATTTATAGGTGAGACCTATCGTATTCGTGGTCGCTATTTTTTTATACCTACCACGGTCCAAAAACTGTATAAATTAAAATTAATTCGAGGAGGCTGTTAAAATATATTATCTCGAACTTGATATTATCTTTCTACAAAACTAGTCGATCGACCTTCGAGAAGAGTTATGTAATATTGTAACAAGCTCTAACCTTTTAACGAAAGATGTCCATTACTTGCAACATCAGTTTAGTAATAGTTCATACTCGTATCGATTAAATTTCTCGGAAATAGTAATCAAGCGCAAGTATAACACTTCTTTCACTGCACAGCAACTAAACTATAAATTTAAGATTTTTTCCATTGTTCATCACAAGTTCATCAGATTATTATTAAAGTATAATACTTCCGCTTGTTTTGTATTATTATAAGAGAAACTAAATGTAAAATATAATTGTTTGTTTCGCCTAACGATTATTCATTCCTCGGTAAATTAAATTCTTGTAATTTCACTTCTACGTTTCTACATGTCTAAGTAAATGCAGGAATGGGGTTTATATTTTACATTTGTAACAAAAATTAATTAATTGTAGCAAATTATAGGAAAAATTAATTAAAAAAGAAAAGGAACTTATGCTCTGTATTCCAAGTGTTAAATTGTAGTCCCTTTCCATTTTCATCGAACGTCTATCAACGTCTTATGACTGCGTATCACGGAGCATTGTGTACAATAAGCCGTCACTAAATTTGCTATTCCATAATATATTCAGAAGGCAATGTAGGCACGCTAAGCTGATCGGTGCATACACGATGAACAGATAGCGGTATCCAACCGGCGTTGCACATATCTCTTTACATATATACGTACATTTATGTGCTTATCGATGGAACAGAATATATGCCAAATCGATGGAGTGCTACAGTAATGCTATGACTTTTATTTCTTCTTCGCTTTTTTCTTTTTTTACATTCATGCATGACGACACACGTGATTGACACAGTGGCACACGAGACACACGTGTATCCAGAGTATAGGCGTAATTTCTGTGTAGGTATAGTGGTATGACTCACGCTAAACACACATATATAGCCAACTGCGCGAAACGTAGTAAAGCGAAACACTCATTAATACCAACAAAGTAATTATTTCGACTTTCTTTGAGATTCATTTTGCACCTTAATCGTTGAAGAACTCCAAGTCGGCTTATACAGGATAAAGAGAGGAATGAAGAGAGTAAATAAGCAATAAATGCATTTTTCCATTTTATTTTTAGTGTAGACTGTTGGATCCATTGCCTATAAAATTGAGTCAATTCTTTTAGTTTGGAAGAAGTTCAAATTTTTGATAGTTTATTCTAGTTGAATTAATCCTTTAAAATTGAAATATTTTAAAGTTGTAACAATTTTAACAAAACAAGTAGTAAAAGAAAGAAAAAGAAATTGTTTTTTATACTTCCTCAACGAACTATCATAATTAATATACATATATGCATTTACTATACAAACACGTATATGTATTGAGGAAGTTTTACAAAAATCTAAAAGCTATAATGCTAATTAGTATAAGATAGTTATTAAATTACATGGTTAGTGACTGTTTAGCTTGTTTAGCCTAGTATTATTGTAGCAAAATAAAAAGAAAAGTAAGTACATGAAACCTACTTTATAAAATACCGTCTATAAATACTTCTATCAAGGCGGAGCAAAATCTAAAATTAGTCCGGAAAAATGTTTTATAAAACATCCAATCATGTTGCCAGTACTATGAAACTAAAGCTGAACAGTTCCTACTCGTTAAAAAATTCAACCGCTTAAACGAGTCTCGTATAACGTTCCAATTATTTGAATCTTCAAGGCCACATCGTATTTCTAAGAACCATAAGAAATACGTAACTCTTCAATTTAGACTTTAAAACAGCCAAAAATCTAAAACAGAAGAAAGCTATCAGTCAGACTTCTAAGCATGGCAAACCTAGTTGGCTCATTTCAATGATTCCTAATTGAATGAATTTCATTTATTTGATGAACTTACGTCAAAAATAAAGGATCACAAAGCAACATGCCATAAAAAATCATCCAACACAAAAATTACAACGTCAATGCATGCTGGTCGTGTGTTTTGGTATGGTCGCTAGGTTACAACGCGCTCGATAGAATAATGACGAGTTTTTCACATTCTTTTCACGAATAAACAAAACAAGAAATAGACACGGAAGTGCACATACTGCACGCTGCTAGCTGATTGGCATATGTGCACGAAATAAACTCAGAAACGTCGATCATCTCGTGCATACTAGTTCATGTTCTTCGTCTCTGTGAACGTACCCTGCATCCCTGTTGCAGCTCTCGAGCGTTCATCGGCCGACATCTCACGGCCACTTTCACGGACTCACTCATCTAAAAATAAAAGAAGCTAGTAGAGACTCCGCCTCGTGGTGAAGATTGGAATTACGTATCAACTGTACAGGTGGCAGCCGGCCGTGGCTGCGAAATCATTGTGAAAAGATAATTATATAATTGAAGATTTAGGATCTGTAGATAATCGTCGGTTTGATTTTTTTATCAAACATTGTTTTCAATATTTTTCTAGGATTCCAACAGTTAAAGAAGTTTGTATATGGGAAGTTCGAGCTATATTGGTGACTATATGAAACTATACCGGAACTATATAATAGTAATCTGTCGGTAATTTTAAATTATCATATAGTAGAGATACATATTAAATATTTTTGAAATATTCAGAATATAACAATACTATAATTATTTCAAAAGTGCTATTTTTATCCATTCATATTCTAATTATTATTCAAATTTTGTACACTAACCTATTCCTTTATTTCATTATTTTATTTTCAAAAATTTATTAATGAATCAAAATTAATCAATGAAATAAATTATCAAAAAACATTGATTATAAATAGCAATAATTCCATAAATAATAATGAAACAAAAATTCAAAAAAAGAAAAAAATTTTAGACTCTACTTTATCAAACAATTTATAACTAACATATATTTCAAAACTAATATACAATTGTTTTCGAAACACTGTAATTTCATTTAATTGCAATTAATTAATGTACACCAATATAATTTGTGTGAGCAAACAGACCAACATTGATGATCAGTCAATAAAAAGAAATCGATAGAAAGCAAAGTATAGAGTACACCATATTCCGTGATATGGAAAGTAAGACAAGTACAGAGGAACCTTTAATTTTAATCATCGAATATAATAATAAATTTTACTATAAATTTTATTATATATTAATAAATTAAATAATCATATTAATAAACTACTATAATGAAGAATCTCTGAAAATGTTATCACAAATACGATTGATTTTCTTATCATTTTCATAAGTAATTCATGCAATTTTTGACCTTATTGCCAGCCAATATTTGACAATATTTGACATACCATTTGACAACATTTGACGACACTACTCAATATCATAGTTTTCAAGAGCACGTTGCTTTTTGCTCGTTAAGTATTCCATTCGTGTGCCGGTGGAATGTGTGTGTTGCCCTTGAACCCAGTTTTCGCGTTGAATCACCCCGAATTATGACGTATTCCAACTGTACACACTCTATGTATGTGATCAGCATTTATGGAATTGTGCTTGAATGTAAAATGGTTGAATGTGCTATTCGAGATTGCATAATGCGACAACACCATCTGATAATTGAAGTTTATAATAAGTTCACCATTATTAAGTATATCAGACAATAAAGTATTGGATTTAGTGGTTTTAAGAACACAGACATTATAATAAACTATAGTGATAATTATAGTAACGATCAATTTAATAAAAGTTGTTTGAAGATCAAGGTGTCAATTGATATTGAATTGATGTTAAGAATTTACATATGATTTTTTATTTTGAAATACCAATAATTGTATTCATGTTAATGTCATGTTAATATTCGTGTTACTTATTGCGAGAGCAACAATTTATAACGTATATATCACGGTATGCAAAGAATGAAGTAGTTGGACATAAGTTAAACGCGAGTGCAATTCATTCCGCGTACTTTACGTTTGCATTTGCACTTGGTATGTAGATGAATTCTGATCACGAAGGGTAGATAAGAAGACGCCCCCCTAACCCAGTAAACTCTGCAAATTGACCTAGTAGAAGACAAACATAGATTGACTATAGTTACACTTTAGCAACTAGCCAAATATTTTATAAAAATTTATTAATCTACCAATTTTTTTTTCACGTATTTCTTTTTTTCGTTCAATGATTAGCTTTATAAAAATTGCAAAATTTAAATTTGTTATTAAGTGTTTTTTGTATAATTATATGCGATGCATTATTGTAAGTGTACATAAACATTTATACTTAATTTTAAATATGTCTATATGATAATAACTCGTAGATTTTACTATATTTTATTCTTGAAAAAGTAAGATTTATTTAAACGATATTCTATTTTAATGCATTCAATTGAAATGTTATTAAACAATTATTTTTATTTAGACACTATAAAAATGACATTAATTTGATATTACAATTGCTTTTGATGGATATCTTATATTTTATTAAATTTTGAAATTGTAAAACAATTAAATACCTCGTTATGTAAAAATCGTTTTAGTGTAATTATTAAAGTGTTTATTAAAAATACATTTCTTCCGTTTTAGTTGAAAAAAACACTTCCAAAAATTTTTGATGGATACGTGTAAATTAAAACATATAAATATTAAGCCTATAATATAAAACAATACAATTCGATAACCTTAAATACAAGCAAACGAAGCAATTAAAACACTAAAATATGTGACACGAACAAGAGATCTTAACAAAGTAGTTAAGCGAAAAGAAATAAATTTTCCAATAATTAGATACCATTTATAACAAGATCATCAAAAGTTTCATAAAATGCATTAATGTAATCAAACTTTTATTTTAACTACTTACTTCAATAAAACACGTATTTTCTTCCTCGACATATGAGTTATCTTACAATTGTAAAAATGTACGTCCTCATATACTGTATAAGAATAATTTGGAATATACAGTGCACTGCATGACAAACACACCTGAACTGACAAGCAGGTTCCAATGTTGTGAATTACTAATACCGTCGAAGTCGACTTGCGCTCGTTCGAAAAATCATGGAATGCGCACGCATGTCGTTTCATCATTTGATTGGTCTTCGAAATAGGAAGCATGTGCGTCCTTTCCTTAGTTTATGTTCTATAACTTCGACTTGTGTTGATAACTTGAATATAATCATTGAATATGGGATCGTATAATTTAAAAGATGCTGATGAACTTCATGAATATTTAAAAAATCTTCATATAGAATACCAATTTGGTTGTTTAAGCGAGAAAAACCCTGAAGGTATGTACTGAATCAATGATAATCCTAACCTTATATGTTAAATGTTTGATATTTTTGGATAGTTTGCCATCTTTTGGGTGACTATAATGAAGCTATTAAGCAAGATTATCCGGAGGCATTAAAAGTGTTTAAAAACAATTGTGATGAACACAATTATGCAAGAAGTTGTACAAAATACGGCGATTACCGAGTAATGGGTGAGTAAAGGTGGCGCATACGTCGCACCGCGAAATTTGAAGTGTATCAACGATTCTTTTGGTTACTCATTAAGTATAACTTATAACATTGCATGTACATAAACATATATTTTTCATTTAATATTCTATGCAATCCTAGAAATATTTATAAAATTATTTATAAGAATTTCAAATTATATATATCCAGGTACAGCATGCCAAAAAGATCCCGTAGAGGCATTCAAATATATGCAAAAAGGATGTGATCTTGGAGATACAAGAGGTTGCCTTCACGCAGGTACTTTGGCAGTATCTCAAGAAGAGCTTAACCTAGATAGAAATTCTCAAATTTCACTTGGCATGAAGCTATTGAAAAAAGCTTGTGATTCTAATGAAGAAAAAGCATGCTTTTATTTGTCAGGCATTTTCTTAAGTGGTATTGAAGGATATGTAAGCAAAAATCAGAAAGAGGCATACGTACTCTCATTAAAGTGTTGTGAATTAAAGAACCCCTATGCTTGTGCCAATGTATCGATAATGCACAAAAAGGGTGATGGTGTACAACAAAATGACGAGTTAGCAAAATCCTTTAAAACACGAGCTGAAGAATTGCTACAAGAAATCAAAGTACAAAAAAGACCATTGCGATTTCATCAGGGCATTGATCCTTAATTATATTTTGTCTAAGATTATTGTATAGAGTATATACAGATAAAATTTAGTAGTACATATAGTACACTGGTTAAATTTTATTATCCTTTATTTCATGGACAATATGAAATTATAGATTTCGACATTTGCATTTATTATTTTATACAATGTTAAAAAATATAAATATTGTAAATTAAAATGTAATAATAGTTTTATTTCTGTGATCAAAGAGATGTTTATATTTATTAAAGCATTATCTTTATTGTTTAATTATTTCAGAACTTTGTAATAAACGTCAAATATTTCTTTCATAATTCAATATCGAATTTTGATTTAGATTAGATTGTTTTTTTCTGATTATTTATGTTTTAACGAATGTTAAAAATATAATTAATTCGTGTATGCTTAATATTGTTTTATTAATATTTAATTACATATTATAGTGATGGGAGTAAAGTTATGTATAAATTGTTATAGAATTGTTTATGTAATTTATACTGTTTTTAATTGTGGAAATTTTGAAAGTTAATTATAGATTACTTCGTTACATTATAAGCATTATGTATAAACATTTGTTTGACAACAAGAAATTTGTAGCATAACACATTTGTTTCTACCGAGAAAGCGTAGAAACCTTCGCTTTACTATGTTAGATTACTTAAAACTATCTTCTCGGTGACACACAATTCTACGCGTTCACATTACAACTAGAGAAATGCGTTACGTTTCACTTTCCGCAGTTAATTTACATGTACTACTGACTTTTTGAATTTTATGTTTTCTCTTTACTTTTTTATTTGCAGTATGAATAATATTCATACCGACTATTTCGTAAAATTACTTTTCATTCGGTTTGGTATTTAAAGCAATTCTATAAACTATAATAATTGTAATTTTTATTTTTTTAATAGAATAATTATGATATTTGCGATAATACGCATGCAGTGATACTCAAACGATTAATATACTGATTTCTATTATATTTTTCGGAAGTTATTAAATCTATGTTATATCCTAATACTTAAGAGGGTAATCTTTAAGTAACAGACTTTCTCCTCTTTTAATATCTTTATTAAAGATATTTGGATTAATCAATTAAAAAAGATTCAAATACATTTTTCAAATTTAATTTGGGAACTTTCCAAGTTAATTAATCTTGATACTTTAATATTGTTTTTTTATCTATACTAGATAAAGATCGATATAAAGCCATATACAAATAATTATCATATTATCCAACTCTAAAATAAAACATTTATATAATCACAATTAGTATATATCTTGACATACAAAGTTACTAAGTAATACCTACATTCAAACTTTTTTAAAGTTCTCTTAAACCTTCGAATGATAAAACTAAGTTTCTTAAAACTTCCATGAAGTTTTTATCAATAATCGTTACCTCCACTTTCTCCATTTTCTATTGCGTACACGAGTTAAAATGAAATTACCTACGGAAGAAATAAAGAAAGGAAACGAGTCATCAATCAAGCGAGCAGTTCCCCTCTGTAATCAAAGAATAAAGGATGGGTCCTTGATCGAGGTTAGGATGGTGCAAGATACCTACCGTGCAAGGGAGTATTTTAAATGCCATCGAGCGTATTATTGATTATTCGTCTCTCTCTCCACTCTTCTCACACAAGCTCTTTCTAGCAGCCCCCTCCTACATTTTCGAAGTCTCCCCTCTTGGCACTGGCTGTAGCCGCTATAGACAAAGCTGGTTTAAAGGCCGGTGGCCGGTTTGTCAGCGTACCAGAAAGACCATGCGGTGCTACCTGTTCACTTCGAGCTACGCCATCGCGGTTATACTTGCCGTCACGTTCCTTGGCCATAGTGCCCTGGTGAGTGGGATTTCTTTCAGTTTCACTTTTAATAGGTTAAATATTCGATATATGTATGCACATATGCTTAATACATCGTTTTATTTTAAACATTGAATTTCTGTTCATTTTCACTCAAAATGTTGAATATAAAATTTCAAAGAATTTTGAAATCATTAAATCGATATTAAAATTACTTTATTACTTTCTACTATCTTTTTATTCATTTCACCTTACATATTTCATATCTTATATTGTATTTTGTTCGCGTGAACAGTAATTTTTTAATTTCTTTAATCTCTGAGTTTGAAAATTATGTTAGTTTCGGTATCAATATCAAGTATTATGAATTAATCTAAGTATTTTGTACAATATAATAATTTAATGGAAATGGGAAAGCTGAGTAAATAATTTGATGAATTGATTATTTTTTCGTGATTAATGGGTAAAATAATATAAATATCTAGTACATTGTTAAATTATAAATATTTCATAATATGAAAAATTATAATTATTTCCTTTTTAAATTTATTTCTATGGGGTCTTATTTAAAGATTGTCATATATTTTCTGGCGCGATTTACGTGACAGCAAAAATGACAATGTGGTACACTATATATCGCACTGATAATATTTTGTGAACTAAAACGTGCGATAAGCGAGAATATAATCTTAGCCTTCGAACTCAGTGGTCCGTTATTTATGACTCATATGATACATTACAGATTTACGTCTCGAAATTTAACAATTTTACTTATCTATTACATCTATCATACTTTATAGTTTCTCAACAACGATCATTATCTTGTTATTGCTACTATCATTATTATCATGTCACTTTAATGTAATTGAGCGAGAAAAAATAAGTAATTGTGTGTCAGAAAAATAATTTTACATGTAACACCAAAAAAGAGTTCAAATACTGAAAGAAGGAAAAAGAAACGAATCACTTATAAGCCGTATAAGACTGAGATTTAATTTCCTGTTCTTAATTTCGATTCGATAATTAATTTTTCTAATCTTTTATCAATCTGTATCGAACACGAATCTTAAAATGATTTCCCTCTACGTAAGATTAATGGTATTGTAGATAAAACAATTATTTACAAGTTTACGACAAAGTTTTCGTTCTTATCGCCGATGAGAAATTTTTTAATAATGAAATAGATAAAATCGATATTTCTTATAAGTCTGATTCGAAGTTCTGATAAATTCTTATTTCGGTGCATCAGGGGTGAAGAAACTATCAAAACAGTAGCAAATCCGGTTTTCAAGGATTTTTTTCCGAGTACAGTACAACATTCAAACCTGTTTATCGGTTATTCGCGATGACCATGTTTCTTTGTTCCGAGTGTCGCGGAAGATTTCTTATCGAGGAATAGTAAGAAGATATTTCATTAGTAGTTTGTTGAATTAATTATAAATCAAATTAAAAAGTTATTAACAATAGGTCTACTACCTTTTCTATGAATCATCTCTATCAAAATGTTACAATATTTTAAAGTGTATGAAAATTTCAGTGTAAAGTTAGAGCGAGTGTTTTTCCAAGTCTTTACATGCACACACAAGTTTAATTTTTGTAGCCTGTGTGCAGTAGTCTAATATCAATTTTTCTGTTAAAATTCAATTGTATCTGAATTTTTGTTAAATTACAATCTTTATCTTTGTTTTCTGAGACTCTCATATACTTTATATTGTTACCAAATTTTTGTCAAATTACTATAATTAAATTAAAAATAAAAAGAATTATAAATACAATTAATAAACATAATTTGAAAATGGTCACATAAATGCCTTTAGACCACATTTTCTTTTATTTCTCTCTTGCGATTGCAATTAATGTTGAGGTATGTGCGAATGTAACGAGTGTTTGGCGTAGCGAGTGGCAGGTGTTTGAATGGCGTAGTACCAGCGTAATGCGCTTTACAGTTATTTCCAATACTAATGGAATATTTGAAAAACTTCGACAACCACTAATTCGACTAATTGAAGTCTGCATTCTTGCAGAAAAAGGAATTTTGAACACTTCTTGTCTCACAAGAAGACATAAATATCTTTAAACGCTTATACCTTTTTAATAAAGCATTTCAAGTTCATGAGTTTATATGAAATTTTTTCATCGATTTGATCTCAGTAACACGTAGTCTCAGTTTGATCCTAACCTTTTTGGATACCCTGAAAACAAAAATTATAAATTGCCTATTAGTATAATTCAGGCAAAATTAATTATGAATTTACCGGAAGTTAAGATATTAATAATTAGATATCCGTATGAAACGTAATTAGATATTGTACTTCTAAAACTGGCTCATGGTCGTTCTCTGATAATTGTGTAGGTGGTGGCCAACGAACTATCGAATACTGTGGTGGATGTGGGAGTTTATTACGAATCGTTATGCCCGGACAGCATACGGTGGATCAAGCAGCAGCTAATGCCAAATTACGATACATTACAGAATTACATCAACGTCACTTTCGTTCCCTATGGGAAAGCATCGGTAAGCCGTGTTTTGCATTAAAACTTTCTATCACACTTACTATACCATTCTTTGCTACATTAGATCCACAGGTAACAGGACTTGCACATGGAATCCCTTCATTTTTATCCTTTGAGTATCTTACGATACAATAAGTATGATAATGTGGAGTGCAGATGGTAAACGATGAGAGCTGTGGTAAAAAAAATTATCTTTTTAGTAAAAAAAAGTTGTAAATTAACATTAGTTTTTGGTTAGAGATAAAAATAGCATTTAATTAATAAATTACTTCTTTTTTATTTACCATTTTTGTAACGTATGTTTGATAATTAATGTTTATTCAAAAATGCACGTTTATTTGAAAAACGCTAAGAAAGAGTTTTCCTGTCAGTGTCGGATGTTCCTCTCGTGAAATAACATGGCCTTATATTTTTTTATTATCGCATTTTGAATTAGCCAGGAAGTTAGTTACGCGAATGTAGCACTAAAAATGGAAAAGAAGAGATTAATTTAAAGAATGATATTTAAAAATTTGTAGTAAATAATCGTTTCAAAAAACACATAATTTAAAAACTAAGTAATAATTTTGATTTAAATTTTAAAAAGAATTATCAAAACTCTTAATTAAAAAAATTATAATATTTAAAAGAAGAAGATAATAAATATATTTTATGCGCTTTATTTTCATCGCCAAAGTAGATTTTATTCATTTTCATATGGAATATGTTTCTATGTATGATATCTTTTATACCTTGTATGTAATGTTCATGTAACAATGATTGATGATGACACTATTTTGCTTCAATTTTAAACTATAATGTAAAGTAGAAGTATTTCATTTTTTAATTTATCGAGTTTGCAATTATCTCTGATGTCGATTTTTGATCAAATGTAGCATACGAAAATCGATAAAGACGACGAGTATTGATAATAAGAAATAGTAAAAAGTATGATAAAAATAAGAAGTCAGCGGATGTATGAAAGGCAATAACCTCAAAAATAATGTAATATATGCTACAAATCTACTTAAACTTTCATAGACACGAACCAATTTTAATCATTAAATCTACCTTACCTCCTATAATAAAAACTGCACACAGCAACTTATGTCACATATCCTAATATCTAATTATCGATACGTAGTACCGACAGGATAGCGATACGCAGCAGTGGCATTTCACCTGTCAACACGGGCCAGAAGAGTGCAATGGGAACAAGGCTCAAGCATGCGGTATTTATGCGATTCAAAACGAGGAATCGGCTAATAAAGTTCAACAACTCAGCGTGGCTTTAGTCGGTTGCGTAATGTCCTCACGATTCCCGCCGTCATCCGTTCCACAGGTAATAATCATTTATCTCTTTCTGCTTGGTAAATTGACCAACCTTCCATGATAATTACAATGAATGCGTAACCGATGTCGCTCCCCTTCTATCGGAAAGGTAGATTTCTTTATAATTTAGCGATAACTACAGGAAGTTGATTGGCGGCCATTCAACTATACTATAGAACCTAGGGGACTTTGTGTCATACTCGTAACACGTGTTTGATTAGTTTTCTTAAGCGGAATATCGTGGATATTGAAAGTTTCAGTTCGGTTGTGTTGATCTTGATTCGAAAGTGTGTAATTATTAACGATCGAACTAACCCATCAGTTAAAATGAATGGTTTTATATGTCTTGATTTCGCAGTTACCGAAAACACGCAGTTTTGGCAGGATTAATGTTGATTTCGATTGAGATAGAAACGTAATTATATATACCGATTTATTTTCAACGTAACACCTTAATTATTGTTATATACATATGCAATATTTAGGCACACATTATAGATCAGTAGTTCTAGTGTTAAACTCGACAGCAGGTGAGGTTAGTAGAAAGATGGGAACGTTTTGTACAACGAAACACTTACGATACCGATGTTACTGATAGGGGAATTTTTAGCCAATGAAATATTTGGTTTTCCGTGGCCATTTTTGTGCTTGTGTTGGGAAAGCAGATAGAAGTATCGATAGAGTAAAGAGTGAGAGTAGAAAGTAATAGATTTATTGGAGAATGGGTCGTACAAGTTTCTCGATAGTTTCTGTCACTTATTCGTCGTAGCAATTATTTTTTTGCAGTGTTAAAAGTGAAAGAAAATTTTATAACGAAATATCTACATATAATTCTATTAAATCCGGAGTATAAGTCAGTTAATTAGCATACTATATCCTTCTAAAACTTTCTCTGATGATGCATAGTTACTTCCAGACTAAAGACGTTCTTGCCAAAAATAGATATTCGACTAATAAACACTCTAAATCTATCTACCACACTAGTCAAAATAATTGTTACCAGATTTTTCAATTCTTGTAATTTGTAGTTATTAGAAATATGTAGTTATTTTTGGGAAAATGAATGTCCACATTTCTGAAGATGCATAGAAAAATAATTATATATACCTATTTATTTTCATCATACTATTTTTATCCCTATTTATATTTTTATTATTATTTTATCACTAAATTAAAAATCCCATGTGTTTAAAATTAATGTTCTCCGAAATAAAATTGTCGATTAAATTTACAGTGCGCTCAGAATTTAGGATTACACGACAATACCCTAACGAGCATCAACAAGTGTATCGAGGGACCTAAATCCAACGAATTGCTGGTCTTACACGGAAAGGCAACGCAAAATTTGAATCCAAGTCTCTCTTTCGTCCCAACGATCACAATCAATGGAGTGAGTATACTTGATATTTCTATTGCGTATCTTCAATTCGAGCGTTCAATTACTGTCGAATCATTCTCTAAGTCATTCTTATTTACGCTCTTCACGTCTGTTCCAGGTTAACTCGCAGGAGATTCAAAACAAGGCACAGAATAATTTCTTTAAACTAATTTGCGATACACTGGCGGAGGGGGCGAAACCGTCGCAGTGCAGCACAGCTTGAAAATAACCGATTGCTTAACCCTTTCGTCACTAAAAGATCTCTGTAGTGGGTCACACTGCTTTTTATACAAAGCTTGTTGCAGCGTGTCATCGCTACAATCCGCGTGAGAGGTCACTGTAGTAGGTTAACGACAAGCTCGATAAATAAAAAAGAAAGAAAAGGGAATCATTCGTACTTGTGAATTTGCAAACTTGTAAGCCTTCTACCACGACATCGCATTTTGTACAAAACTATAGGGAATCTTCTTAAGAATGTATAATGATAAAAGAAAAAGTTACAGGAATGTAAGTATGTAGGATATATTGGAAAAATATACCATATCAATGATACGACAGAAGTAACAAGAAATTGTAATCGAGTAACAATTTGAAAAGAAATCTACAACTCAATGTACAACGAATGAAATAAAATGTTCATGTTTTATAAGCATAGCAAGGATTTTATAATTTCTACACTAGCAACATCGCTGACAGACAACGCATTATACCCTCTAAATAATGAAAATGATAAACAGAGGACCAGAGGTAATAATCAAAACCATATATTTAATCATAATATATACAATCGTCTATGTACAAAAATATATCTATCAAGTAATCGAGCGTATAAAATCGAGTACAAAAAGAAATGGAAACAAGTCTTTGGAAATATGGCGCACGCCATGAAGTCTCCCTCCGATTTTCCTCCTCCTGGCGCTCCACTTAACCATCGATGAATACCGCATCATCCAGGCTGCTCAGTTCAAGAAACTGCTGTTCAATATCCGATCCGAGCTCTTGGAAGTCAGGAACCTCATCCTCGACCTGGTACCCTGTAAAATACAGCAAACGAGACCTCGATGACCAACGGTGTACCAGTTTCGCGTGCCCAGTTAGACGAAAGACCTAAACCCAGACTTGACACCTAAGTTAATTAGGCTCGATGGGTAATTTAAAATAAACTCTTAAACAGTTTTAGAAGGTGGAAGCGGATCGATGGTGGCCGTATTATTTGGTAGAAAATCGCGGCCTCGAGGGGCTGGAATTTAAAAGGGCACGCGTGTGTGTCGCACGTGGCAGGCGCGTCGTCTGTTTTGGCGCGTGCGTACGTGCGTGTGCTCCGGCCAAAAAAGTCGGGAATATTATTTTAAGACTCGGTGTGGGGTAAACGCGTAAAGCGGTGAACCTCCTCTGAGATTAAGCATGGTGCAGCGAAACGCGCACTGTCATCGGCGCCGTTACCATTTACCGGGACAGAAAAAGGCAGCACGCGCGGACCAGTGCAATAAAGATTCGTACGGGTCGTCGAATAACGCTACAACACTTTTTTGTCGAAATCTTTTGTTAGTTTTTGGCCTCGTGTTGCTCTTATCGCAAGGTTCTCAGAATTTTTATCCACCTTGACACAGAGTTGCCTCGAATCAGGATCGAGTACATCGGTCTACCGGACTTTTAGGGATTCTTTAGTCGGTTTACTCGATGAGGATATATCAAGATAATTCGAATTTTCTGCTGAGGGTTTAGGGATGTATTAACTTTCTGATAGGGTACATTAATTTTTGTATTGCACTTGTTTGAAGAAGATACAATTTTAATGGGATCCAGTAAGTGGATTTGAGATTTATGAGTGGAGGATATTAAGACGATTTTCTGATGGATGTTTAGAACTTTGCAGAGGATTTATCGATACGTTAACCCTCTGGAGAATTAAATAATTGAATAAAATGCATTACCTAGTAAACAGATTGGAGGTTAGGATATCCAAATTTTCTAATAAATATTTTGAATTTTACAGAGTATTGTATGAACACGTGGACCATTTATAGTAGATTGAATTAATCTTCTACTAAAATTGCTTAAGGAAAATCTATTTAGAATGAGATCATAAGTACCTGTATCTTCTTTCTAACAATTATCCAACCGCAATTGAAACCTCTCAAAATTTATCAAGAGAATAAGATAGAATAAAATCTCTAGAGAACGTTCAAGACAGAGCGTATCAAACTTACGCAGAACTAGGAGAAATAGGATAAATGACTAATCTAATATACAATTAATCACCAATCTTTCCTTACCTGTACCATCCACGTGTGATCCGCTGACGTCGTCTATGAGAAAGCGTTTCACAGACTCAATCGGGACGTACTCTTGATTGCTGTCAAGGTTCATGGAAATCCTATCGATCTGACACAGATTCGTTTGGAACAGATCCGCGTCCTCGTCCGCGTAAGACTCCGAAGTCTTATACGTTCGATAATTCGATTCCGCTTGGTAGCCGATCGCCGTTTGTGCCTGTTGTTGCTGTTGCTGATGCTTTGAGCTCGTGGAAATCGGATCGTGCCGCGAATTACTCGAACTATTAGCAATGCTACCTGGTGCCTTGGTGTCTGAGGTCAGCGACAGGTTAGACAGTGGTGTCGTTGGCTCCGTGTGATTCTTCACGTGTTTCCTCAGACTAGATGGGTCTGTGTACCTCTTCCCGCATCCGCTCACTTGACACGCATATGGTTTCTGGGAATTTAAATGGGTAATTAGTCAGACACGAATCTTGGAGTAGTAATGGAAAATTGAAAATCGGGTAAGGGATGTTAATAAATTAAATTTGATCAAATTAAGGGTAAATTAATTAATGGTCACTTGGCAGACAGTGGATGGGAGCTTGTATGGACAGAAACAAGGATGATATTCTTTTTAATGTTAAAAAATTGTCTAATTATTATTATACTATTAATTTCCCAATTAATAAGCGAATTTTTTAATTCTTATGATGTAATTGTGAAGTTTGACATTCCGTGTATTATAGTTCTCAAGCTTTTTGAGTGATTTCGACATATATGTGATTTTTGTTCAATGACCTCTTACACTGCAAAATTTCGACATTGGTGATAAGAGTTTTTCCTTTTATGTTACTTTATAGGCAAGTAATATTCCATAATAGATTATACGTTATATTGATTATAGAAAAACATTCATAGTAATGTAAATATCGATTAATCGTAAATATCAAATTAACGGAGTATAGGCCGGACTTCGATCATGCGATCGTATAATCATATTTCGATCATGCATACATTGACGAGTTATTGAATGAAAATGTTAATGGATCGCAGAGTAATTAATTACAATTAAGATGTAACCACTTCTTGCTTCCGTAACCTCGGCGATTAATTTGAAACAAACATAATTGATGATAAGTCTTAGTAAATGCGAACACTCCATGATGAAATATCGTTCTCCAGTTGCGATAACTCTTACATAACAGACGAATACTTTCGAATATAGAATCGTTGTCGATATTCATTCTAAGCTGGCTATATCAGTCATATGCAAGTCATAGACAATTGAATCCAACTGATAAGTATGTTTTTAAATCATGCGAACCGCTGATTCGAATACACGTGTACCAGCTGAGCAAAGTATGTTAAACGTACTCCTTTTGCAACGATTCTTCTTTTATTTTTTAATATTTGTCGACGCAGTTTGATTAACTTCTTATCTGAGAAGCTAAAAAATATAGCAACACTCACCGTGTCATAGTGAGTTCTTTGGTGTTTTGCACGATCACTGCTGTTGCTAAAGGCTTTGGTGCAGCCACGATGCTGACAGGCGTATGGTCTTTCCCCTGTGTGAGATCTCTGATGAATCTTCAGGTTCTCCAGTCGTGAAAATGCCTTCTTGCATCCAGTGAACTGTAAAAGATTCATAAAGGATTAATTGCAGTAACTTTAACAAAGTAAAGAAGCTGCTGAAGGTAGTCTCAATGAAAATTCAACCATTCAAGAAGATTTTGAAGGGAAAACGCAAGTCAGATGTTCAACCCAACTAACCAGCTCGGAAAGCACTTGAGGATTTTAAATAAGGATGGAGAGGCTAGTACTTAAAATACAAAGGACGGTGAATGTTTCAGATCAAACTCAATTTGTCATAACACCTGAATTTTTGTATAAGAATGCATCATATATCAACCTAATATACCAACTTAATTTCAGAATTCTTCAAGACATCAAGAAACTTATATTTCCATATAGGAATACTATTAGGACACTATAGTAATGTACTAATGCTATTAGACTAATACACTAATGTTGTTATATTAATTATACTATATTAATACTAGTAATGCTATACGAATTATACTGTGTTATTATACCAGCTTCTAATACTATTATACAAGTATACCAATTTTTATTTGCAGGAACCTAATACGAATAAAATTAATTAGCTCGTACACACCGGACACTTATTGGGTTTCTCTCCGCTATGAACCCTCATATGGATCAACAGTTTATATCTCGCGTTGAATGGCCGAGCTCGCGGACACCCTTGCCAGAGACAAGCGAATTCGTCTTGTCCGCTTCCTGAACCCGCGTAAGACTCTCCCTCTTTGTCTTTGTCCTTGTCTCTATCCCTTTGAACCCGCCTTCCGTGTCCATGAGCGTTCGACGAAGAGGATTCGACATGCCTTCTTTCGATATGGCGAACCAGACCCTCCTGCTCGGCGAAGGCGCAGCCACAATCTATCCATCGGCACTGATACGTCGACGTCAAGTTGTCGTCCGTCGTTGAACAGTCTGAAACGGAAACAAACGTGTCATCGGTATGTAAACAAGCTGTGGATTTCGAGACTCGTTAAGCAAGCTACTTGAAACTACTTGCTGCACTTGAGAGGAGCAGTCAAGAGGTTTAACTTCCTCGACCAATCTGTTTATTTGTGGTGTTGCTGAAAGGAGGTACATACTCTTGATGATTCCCTGAATGCACCAGGTGCGAGAGAATGGATAGAAATAATGATATTCTAACATAAGTCAATTGGAATACTGATTAATGAAGGAACGTTGAATTTTAAGTATAAGTGATGTATCACGATACGTCTTTTAATATCTTCTTTTTCTTCTATAGAAATTCTAGCAATATTCCAATTCGATATTGCAATTTATTAATTGAAGCAAGATCTTTCAGACTCACCATATGATTTACTCCGTTTCTCCGTGTCCCCTGTAGGCTTGGACACAGGCACCCTTCTATCGGTCAACAACAACCCCTCGTTTCTGGGCAAGACAACCTGATTCCCAAACCCATCACTCAAGCCAGTGTCGTTAACGAAGTTCATCGTGGACACTGATGACTGTTGTCCAGAGACCAAATGCCCAACCGCGTAACAGGATCCACTCAAATTAGAAAATGGATCTTGAAGCTCCTCCAAATACGTAGATGACGGCGAGGAAGGTGATTCCACATTGCACAGCAGCGACGTAGGATCACCTCTAATTAAACTAAGATCAAACTCATCCGTGGCAGCCTGCATAGACCCATTGAATGTCTGGTCCTCTGTTTGATTGTGAAGAATAAGTGGCAAAGACACTGACACGTCATCCTGGTACTCTTGATAGTCCTGGTAGCTCTGGTACTCCGGATAAATAGTGTTGCAGAAGGTTCTTGAGAACGAAAAGGCAGAACCAACGGAAGGTAACCTTTGTCCACTGGGACAGTCCGACATTTCACTACGGATGACATTGTTCCAGGTTGGCGTGGTAGCTTCGCTACCAGTGCTTGGAGACCTGTCTGTAGTCGAGTATGGTTGACAGGGATACTGAAAGACCGTTGTGAGCTGTTCCCAGTCTGTGTACTCCCTAGGGCTGGAATTGCTGGCTAGAATTGGAGATGATATACTGTCAGCGTGAGATGTGACCCAACAGGGTTGCTGACTGCTGGCGTTTATGGAAGTGATAGGCGTCAGGTGAAGAGAGTTAAAGTCCTCTTGTTTTATGTTCTTCGAAACTGCCCTTTGCACATCCTCCTCGCTCCTGTTCACGTGGTAGTCCTCGAGGTGCATCTTGTGTGCAACCTGCAAGTTCGTGGGCGAGATTAGTAATATGACTTTGCGAGGATAGAGTTGAGAGTTTGGATAGTTTGCTGAAGTTGTGAATGGCATGTTGTTACGTAGAATGAATGGAAAGTTACAAAGGCTTTAAAAACACGCGTCGAGATGTTGCAACGTGTCACGCGTGATATAAGGCGATAGAAGCTCGAGTAATCGCTAGCAGCACGTGAGTGAAAGAATTTCTGGAATTTCTAGGCTTCCAAGTGACTTATTGACGAATTTGTGAATGAAACCTGGGATTAAATGTAAATGGAACACACGTGAGTATATGGAACTTCAATTAGAAATAGTTTTAACTATTATACTTCGAAGTCTTAACTATGGCGCTGATCAACAGTGCCCGACAGAAACTTAATTTCTTCTTTCCTTCATTACCGATATTTTACTGACTAATGTTCTCTCATAATCAGTCACAATTCTGACAAAATTTAGCAATTAGAGTCACCAACTAACCAACAAGATCACCATTCTGCAACAACGTCAACTTGAACCCAATAGAATTCTCTGATTCCTCACTGTCCACTTACAAGATCCGCCTCACCGATTAAACTCCCCAAATAAATTCCACCGGCACCGACAGTCTCGCAGAAGTCTTCTTCTTTGACTCTTTTACAGTGATAAGCTTATCACTTGTTAAGGTCCACGCGTCACGCGAACTGGCGTGATCTTAATCGCGATGAATTGAAATCAAATGGACACGGGATGGCCGAATAAACACCTAGACACGTTGACCGTATCTCAGCAGACCCCAAAGATAGCACGACTACACCCGTTCCCGCGTCTCCACGACGACTATCAGCCAGGACAAGACATCGTAGTGTTCTTCCAGTAGACACGGAGGATCCCCTCCACCCCTGCTCGAGGAGCAAGGGAAGAAGCCTTCGAGAAGGGTACGGCGCCGCCCACTCGCGTGGCCGTGCTTCGTTCTCCTCGGAACACGCGGAACGACGACGACGAAGAAGAAGAAGAAGAAGAAGAAGAAGAAGAAGAAGTGGAGGAAGAAGAAGAGGAGGAGAAGAGAAGATCCTCCGGCACTTGTGCATCTTTGTGCACTTGCCTCAACCTCATCGGTTTCAGGGTGGCGCGGCACATCTGCGTGCGCGTCTGTCGTCTCCCTTTTTCCTGACTGCCCGTTCGAATTCGTCTTCCACGGGACTTTTTTGCCCGTGCCTAGATTCTTGGAACGATTATGCCCGATGGATTGTCTTCGGGGCTGACGAACTGTTGCCGGATTGCGTCATTTGTTGTTTGGTGTACCCGCCTTTTGATGTTCCATGGGGGTCCACTGGCTGGGCCCTGAAAAAGATCAATCGGTATTGGTTTGTGATTGAAGAAAAACGGTGGAATTATATGGTGGCTTTGGAAGACCTTACTCGAGCCGGAGATGATGGTGTAATTGTGGCGAGGTTATTGGGGATGATACTTCATGGTTTGGTCATGACTTGGAGACTAAGGATTTTGCTAAATTGTAGGTTATGTATCACGTGTACATGGATATGACACTTGACCTATATGGGAATTAGATATTGGTTAGGTTAATTTAATATGATAAAATGAAGTTTGTGTTGCCAATTCAAGAGACACTATTCTGTCTCATATTTTTCTTTTTATTAGTTCAATTTTTTAAATATATTGGAATGCTATAGAGGAAATTATAAGACACTAATTTTTACCTTGAAATGAAAACTTGTTAGTAACAAGTTTGTAGAGAATTATGGTTTTTCAAATTTTGCAAAAATCCATATCTTACTCATAAAATTCACAATTCGATAAATTCATTTTCCGTAAAAAAAATTCATTCTACCACCTCTCTTATCCTTAATAAATCCTCTTGCTAAAAATCTTGCTCAAAATTATACGTATATAAATTTGTATTTTTTATAATTATTCGTAATATCGAATTTATTTTGAATCGGTCGTCGATATGTAAGGGCAATCTCGTATCGATACAGTTGGAGGACGCGTGGCGATCGGCATCTCTTTGAAAATCTGTTAAGGAATATTCCAAGTCGAGGTGCAGCGGGACTCAGGCAAGAGACAGAAACAGAGAAAGTAGCGGGGGAGGGGGTGCTTAGGCCGATCTTTCGTCGCTCGAACCCCGAGAATCGGGTGTAAGGCAAAAAACGTAAAACCAGCTGCCGCACACGCGTCACTTATTAACAACAGCTTCTTCGCGCGCACACATGAGGGCAAGTCGTTCACTCCTTCCTCCTATTACAGCCTACTATTATTTCACCAACTTCCCCGTGTCCCTCCTCCTCCGTTGCGTCTTGCACTTTCACGCGAATACGCTTGATATCGTTGCATTCTTGATTGAATATTGCGAAGCTTGTGTTTTGAGGATCTCAAACTACCAATTGTGTTTGTGGGTAAATGGGCGGTTCTTGTTAGGTTTAAGGGTGTACCAATAGAATTTGGAGTGCTGGATGTTCTTGGAAGTTGTAATACAGTTGACGTTTCTGAAATCATTTAGGTTATGTTAAGAGCAAAGATTTGAGAGGGAAGCTTTTTACTTCGTAGTTGTTTATAAGAATTTAAGAAGTATAAATTTGGAAGTATAGAATGTTTGGAAAATAAGAAGTTATTAGTAGAAACCATCAAGTTCTTTTTGCATAGGTTACTAATGTATATTTAAGTATAAAGTTAGATATGAAGTATAATGTATATATACAAGTAAGTTTACAAAAAATATATTATTCTTATGATATTCAATTTCTTTTTCTATCATATTCTTCTATGCATGATAAAATAGAAAATACAATTTCCCTGATTAACATAATTTGTAACATATTGAAGAATTATTATGTATACACATTCTTCAATTATCTATAAAACCTCACTCTCCAAACAACTGTCGCTCAGCACACAAACGGATTAATTTAAACAAAGTACAGTACTAAATTCCTTTTCAAACATTCAATCCTTAACTGTATCATGCTCTACTTACTTATAATTTTGCAGTATTGCTAATTTTTCCAATGGTTATATTACTGATTGAAAAGGATATGGTGGAATAATTAAGACGACAATAGAAAATGGCGATTGCTTGGTTCATCGACTGTCCAATTCAAAAAGCATTGTTATGATTTTAAAGCGATTCTTGCAACAGTACGATCCTTGAAAGTCGGGTGCCTTCGGTTTCTTCCAAACGAACGCACACAGAAGCATCTTCATGCATCCTCCTACTCACCCCTTGCATACACACGCGTGTGTATCTTGACTGCTGCAGTCATGCATACGCACGCAAACACGCACATGCATGCGTTCACAGTTGCATCTTATGGTCGGGTTATACGTCATATTACGGGTAGATAAGTGATAGAGTGGCACATGTGGCCTGCCAGCCCTCTATGCTTACATTATACATACTATGCCCGCTCTCGACCACGCTTTTTTGCCCAGGCACCTGTCAACTCCGTTCGTACCATAGTCACCGCATGTGTACGACTGCCATTAAAATAAATATACTGGAAAAAGGATTTCGATCGTACACCCCATACGGATGCAATAACAGAGAGAGAATGAAGGAGGGAGAGAAAAAAGAAGGTGTCTTAACGAACGTTTAATCGAAGGGGATTCGGGCGGTTGTTCCCCTTATAGTCTCTGGAAGATTGCTTATGTAGGTAAGATTGAATTTCTATATCCAATTTTTCTAAATTCGGTGGACTACTTGGGGCTATTTTTCTCATTGAAAATAAAATTAATATTGACCCCAGTTTAAAATTAAATTACATATTTAGAAGTTTGTAATTTCATTTTTTTTTAATTTTCAAGAAAAAAAAATTTATCGTGTAAATAATATATCTTACATGATAACTAAGTTTATCTTTAACATAAACACACGAGTAGCATAAAGTTTAAAAGTAAGGAACGATTACAAAGTAATTAAATACTGAGGTGGAAGCATGTTTCTTCAATAGCCTCGAATGCAGATTGTTTTTGAATGAAAGGCGATAGTACAGGTTATAAATGCTACACAAATATAATCTTCTTATACAAAGTATGAAATCTATATTTGACGATCACCGCATAAATAAAATGACAGGGCAAGATGACAAACTGCGTTTGAGAAACATATTTAGGGTGACAGAGTTTCTGAAACGATGGAACAATGGTGGTTAATTTGTGTTTGGAGTTGCGTGGCGGTAGCAGTGGATACAGAACGTATTGGAAATAGTGCGGGACGCATCACATACGTACGTGTCGACGTTCAGCATTCGGTCAAGCGACGTAAAAATAGAAAGACGTGCGCTCTGCATGTGACTTCGTATAATTAGGTACCGAACCCGAGAGCCGTCGCGTTGTATATCCCATACGTTAGGAAGCTAGCACATTAGAGCTTAACACGAGACTCAACGATGTTTTTTTTCTGTAGGGCTGTTGACGAATCGGTTATGAAATATTATATAATTTCTGTCAGACCCCGATGTAACATTCGGCAACATCGTGCTGTATACAAACAAATAATTTATTGCTATTTTATACTCAGTTTAACAAAAATATGTGGTTTCTTATATCACTTAAAAAATTTGTAAGCAAAATATTAGTAGTTCTTGCTTAGAAGTTATCAATCATAAACAATAAGAATTCAAATCAAAATTATATGTGTCGCGCGATAACGAAAATGAATGCGATAAAAGTGATGTACTTGTGTTCATAGTAGGAACAGTTTCTTTCTCGACTATTGGAAAATGTTGAATACGACCGCTACTCCAAGCAATTGTTAAACAAACTATATTGTTTTGCCCTGCTTTACACTTCTGATAGAAGTTCATACAATTCGGAACTTCTCCCGGAAATCCTTTAATAAGACAACTTGGTTTAACTTCAATCACGAGCGACAGATTTCCCAGTTTGGTTTTAATTAGTGCAATGCATGGACTGTCCTAAGTAATTAAAAATCTATTATTAGAATTTACAATTCAAAATTATTTTTCTCGTTAAATTACAATAAGAAATATACCTGAAAGAGGATAGCAAGATATCTTCCTGTAGGATCCCATTCCATTGCAATTACTCTTCCGCCAACAGTAACGTAATCACCATCCGACGCAAAATTAACTCTTGCTAAATCTATCAGAGGTATAGCCATTTTTGCATCATCAAGGGATGGTTTCTTAATGTTAAAAATGTTTTCCTGTAGAGGTAAAGAAAAGATTGTAGCAGGATCTTCATTTGATGCAAATAATAAAGTCAAATTTGGACCAAAACATGCAACTGCTACGCGACCATTAGGCACTGTCCATTTATCTGCGTGCCATGTCGTTGCTACTCCCGTGTTCCAAACTCTACACAGTTATTAATGAATTAAATAAAATTTCATGTTGCATAAATATTAAAAATACAAACAGTAATGTTCTGTACCTAAATATATTTCTACAAGAAGCTGAAAATAATCGAGAACCACATGATGACCAACGTATAAAGCATAAGCCATCACCTCCAACTCGTCTCAATGGTACACCTTCCTTCCTAGAAGTATCCCAAATAATCATACGTGTATCTGCTGGTGAGCAAGATACCAGTAGATCACCCTGTGGATGCCATGTAACACTTGTTACAGGAGCATGATTTCTTTGTTTTAACAATACCGCATGACTGAGAAAATTACTGGCTGCTCCTATTTCTATCGTCCAAACTAAAACACCAGCGTGACATGCTACTGCTAGTTCCTTGCCAGAGAGTGGTCTCCAACTTATGCAGCAAACAGACTTTTGAGCACCATGTCTTAAAATTGGTACTACTGGTATTTCTTGAGAAAACATACGTATGCGATCATCTCTTGTAACTACTGCCAATCGTGCACAATGTGGATGCCATGCAAGACATCTGATCTACAAATTAATATTAGAAATATAACAGGTATTACCAATAAAATTAAATCATTTATGTTAATAGCTTACAAGAGATGTTTCCCAATCTCTTGTGTGAACAACATCTGTAATTGACCCAGATCCAGAAGCAGGTAAAGTTTCTCTTTGATATATTCCTTTATCCATTAGATCTAAAACCCATTTAAGTCTAAAATCAAAATTATGAAGTCAAGTGCCACAATAAATAAAAAATAGTTTGTATTATTGTTATTATTAATACCTTGTAGCTACCCAATGTAAAACTGGTGTAATTTCTTGTGGTTCCGCAGATTCAGCCAGACAAATAGCTTCAACAAACCCTTTTTCTCTGAATATACTAGCAACTTTCTTAAAAATGCTGTCATGAACTGGTAAAAATAAATCTCCAGCAGAAACTGTACATGCTGTTTCACGTGTGGCAAGAATATCAGGAGTAATAGAAACCTCTGGATATTCACGCAAATATTTGGAGAAGGGTTGCAATTCATCTGTTAGATTTTCATAATTACAATGACGTAAAATGTCTTCTATAAGAGCGACAGTAATTGATTCATCGTCGGCAGGAGAATCGAATTTGTGCAGTGACAATATTTCCATCATGATTATTCGTTTTATGATTGTATTTGCTTAACCTATAAAGATAAGACACGAAAACACAACACTATATATCTTTTTAATCAGACAAGAAATAATAAGTTCATGAAACGATGATTTTTCAGAAAAATTAATCATAGTTATTAAAATGAATAGAATTTCAAAAAGTAAACTCTTATAATATTTTCTAGATTGAGAAGTGTTATACCTTTCGATACAACTGAAGCCGGATAAAATGGCGGAAACTAGTTTACGTCGGTTGCCATGGCAACATCCAATCGTGGTGTAGAATAGTTAGGCCATTGCGCATGTAGCAATTGGCTCTCATTCAAAACGTTTCAGTTGTGAAGAGAAATTTTTAATCAATTTTACTGTTGAAAATTTGCATGTCATTCGATGTTCATAAATCATTGTAATATGATTTACTGAAAATATATCGTTGAAATGTGTTCTTTGTAAAAATATTTTTCCAAATTGTAGAAAATACGATCAGAAGTTAGACACGTAGCGGAATATGTCGAACATGACACGGGCAGAGGTAGGGGATCGGTGAGAGCAGGGTGGGGACTAAAAGGGAGGGGTGAGGTGGGGACAGCAGTATGCGGTCGCTATTCGTGCGGCGCGGATTACGTATTAGAGTTGTCTTCTGCTACGGGTAGGCCTCGTTTGTTGGTTCGTTTCGTTCCAAAGCTTTTGTCTCGAGAAGACTAACAACGTGGGATACACTGGTCGGTGGACAGTTGATAAAATGCTACCGCAAAGGTAGTGGCAAGATCAATCACGATGGTTTTGGTGGAGCTGTCGTTCTAGAAAGTTGGCCGAGATCGCTGGGGAGTCGAGAGACAGAAGGGAGGAGGACCAGCACGGTCTTCATGAGAGATGGGCAAGAAGGGTTCTAAGCGGAAAATTCGATGGAGAACTCTCAGCATTGGTAGTGAGTGTTTCTTATCAATGAAATTTATTACGACACACATGAACATTGTGTGTTTGAAGTTGTGCATGCTTTCAAAACCTCCGAGTGCATCTCGTGGTCGCATGTTTTCCAGTCTAGTCATTGATCTATTACCTGAAATAAATCTTGCTACCACGACTCGTCCGTAGGCATTTATTGTAGAACGCACCCCGCTTGTGAATTGCTATTCTGCCATCTGCGTGATATCGAACGTGTGCATCCTGCTCACCATCGTGGCCATGACTCTCGATCTGTTCACACGACTTCGCTTGATCTCGAGTCCATCTTTCGAATTCGTGAAATAATCAGTTCGAGAAACGTTTTTGTTGAACATGACATGCCGTCTATTATGCCCGGCAACGGAAAAAAACGCGTTTTCGTTGCGATAAACAAGGATACGGGATGGTTGTCGCATAAACGAACGAGGTTACATCGGACTGTTTCATTCGGTGACAGTGCTCGATATTGCCAGGAAATTTTGCCGTTTTGTCCGGAACCGTTTCCTAGCCAGGCATCGATCCGTGCACCCTCCATGACTTTCCTCCTTCGTGGAAATGTGTCTAGCTAAAGCAAGTGCTCTACACGCAACTTTACAGTATGTCGATGCTGTTTTCTCGTGTTAGTCTTTCTTTCTCGATTGTCGAAGGTGTACCACCGTTGTCGATGACCCGTTACAATATACACTGTCTCCATCTATACCCAGTCCCGTGACATATTTAGTGTAAACCCGAGTGCAAAAATCGTATACTATTTCGTCTGTCCGCCGCGTGCTCTCCTATAACCTCTATACGAACGACTATTTTCCGTTGGCTTCCGTGTTTGTCATCACGATGTTTCAAACCTCAAAGCGAGGTGCGTTCTATCTTTGGAGGCTTTGACCCGTGAGGGTCGTGTCTTCAGGCATCGAAATTCCATTCGATGATAGATATCCCGGAAAAGTTGACAAAGAGTCATAGATAATGTAAAGTAGAGAAATGTGTTTTAATTATGGAGTGTTTGAGAATCAGGTTGGTTGGTAGACTACCAACCGCGTGTCATCGAAGAAGAAACAGGGTGCAAAGATGGTGGTATCCGGTACTGTGAGTACATAGGATTTTATCAAAAAGTCAAAGAATATTGTGTGTGTTTCATTTAACCTTTTTTTGTGCGCATAATAATAGGTATTATTACGATCGAGAAATAAAAATATTCTGTTATCGTATATATCGAGGAAAAAGCATGAAAGGAAGGAAAGAAAAGCATTTTAATAATTCGTTACAATTGAACTGTATTTTTGATATATCGATCCGTGTGTTGAAATTGAAAGTGTTTCATTTTGTGAATATGAAATTCATAGTTCTAAGGCATGTAAGTTATTTTGTTAGTAATTTAGCTTGTAGTAAAATGTATTTATTTTGATGTTGTGTATCATCCACGGTCAACGTCGAATGGCACAACACGCACGTGAACATGCTAGGTTAAGACGATAATGAGTTCTCGGCAATTGCCAAATGTATCACACCGCTAGTGGCATTTTATAAACTTTTCGTAGACGTTTTTCGTCCATTCTTTTTATCTTCTATTTTTCTAAAGTCTTGTTTGTACGTCACGTTTCATTAAACATTTATCAGCTCAGCTCACGTTATCTTCGTCCGATAAGGTTATAAGGATTTATGCTTGACAGATGATCTAACCAAGAAATTTTTTCCTACCCCATAACCTCTCTCATAAGTTTATTATACATATTCTTTTCGATCACTTACGTCGAAATGCAAAATAAATATACGTTATTCGTGTCTTTATTTATTTTGTTACTTATTATCATTAACGTTCTTGTATCGTTCCCCTCTGCAATTTGTTTTGCAATATTATACATATGTTAAATCTTTTTTTACTGTTACTAAGTTATAAACTAGTCATTCTAAATTTGTACTATTCTTTCTTAATTTTCTAAATACGTATTTTCTAACCTCTTTTATGTCAATCATATTCAAATATTTTTTTATTCTTTAACTTTCCTTTCTGCATTCATATCGGATTGTGTCGTTTTTCGTGCTTTCACTTCGATTCAGTAGCGTAGATAGATGGGTTATATTCACTGATTTAAAACGAGACTTCTGATTGGGTAATCGATGTTCACAAAAATATAAACATAGGTGGAGTGGCAGTTCGCGGCATGGTTCGCGTGTTAAATGCGTGCAGTCATCTAATACCTAGGTAGCCTTTCAAATATGATCTTGAAAACGCGGTTATATGTAACGAACATTTCGCGCGTTTCGATATGGCGTACTAGTACATACTGTAAAGAAAGGTAGCTTGGTGTATGATGTTTCCGTGTTTTTCTGTTTGCTGTGAACGAAGTGGAACAAATTGAATATTTCTCGTGCCTTCGTGTTCATGCTAGCGGTAATTTAGTTTTGAAATTGCGTAACAGATCTTTTGTGTGCAGAGGTAGGTAAAAAGACGTTTGCGTGTGTCATGTACGTGTGAAAAGGAACTCTGACACTTTGGGTATGTTAAAAAGATGCTTTACGATTTTTATTCTATTTATAGAAGATTATAGTTAAGCTTTAAACGTTGATATTTATTCTGGTTGCAATGTTATCAATTATCATTTTTCTGTTTGCTATTAAACTGATGCATAATTTTATGCATTGCGTGCAAGTTATAGATATTTGGCGCATGCGCATTTTATCGGTACAAAAGTCATTAAATAACGGGTGAAATGATTGGAAAATGAATGTTATTTTCGTTTACGGTTCTCTTTTATGGAGCGTTTGGAAAAGCTTTTTACGAAATTTCTGTTATTATTATTATTATTATTTTTTTTTTAGGTTAAAGCATCTCGTTGGCATGGAAAATATTTCTTTAGATGTCAGTTGTATTTTACGTAGTTTTTACATCGATATTTACTAGTCTCTAAATAACACGTATTCTCGCATTGTAACTATTACATATTCAAATTACATCTATATTTGATAGTTTTTTAATCTATATTTATATTATATCTATTATATCTGTATTTGATAGCCAGTCTTTGATTAACAAATTGCAATTTAATTGAGAGTTATCGCTGAAATTAAAATAAAATTGGTATCCTATATTTTATATTGTCTAATCAATTTAAAGTTGTATAACCTATAAATTTCTTTTATTTTCTCTAAATGCTTTCTTGGTTTGTTAGAGTACCAGATATGAGTTTAGCATGAAATGAGCACTATTGACAGAGTGTATAAATATTAGGGTGATTCAGGAGAGTTAGTATCTTTGGTAAATTAACACGTTAACTTGCATTATTTACATAAAGTCAGTGCTTGGAGAAACTTGAATAAAATGATAATATTTACCTTTTCTTGATACTTGTAATTATACTTCATTCCTAAATCCAGCTGTATATTTTCTTTTCTAGCGAATCGATTCTGACGAATACTCTGCTTATATCAATATTAGGGTAAGCAATCAAAGTATGAATATTTCACAAAATACTTGAAATTTCCTGATAAATCGTGTAGGTTCTCTCCTATGGGGTTATCGGCGAGATAAACCGTAGTTTGATCTATTAGAATGAAATAGTATATATTGTAATCGATATAAATATTAATCTTCTCGTGTTAATTTTTTGAGAGATTTAATTAAAACATTTTATTTCAGTGATTTCGAATCAATTTCTTTGCAAGTGGCACAAACAGATTGCAATTAAAGGCTGAAGTGTAATTTTCTCTCTTAAGAAGCCAGTAAAACTGCAAATTGCTTTTATTTTTAGCATTGATCACACATATATCGTTTTTATTTTCCTTTACTACTTTCTTTCCCCTTCAACCGGACAGGAAAACGATTCGTCTCAATTGCATGAATCATCCTCTATAGCATAATACTCATACCGTACACATAAAGGCCCACGCGCATGTAGCGATTTTTCGATCTATCGTCCGAGGGAAAGAATCGAATATCCCATCAAGTTCGCTATTTTTCCTCAGATAAAATTGTTGGAACAGGTCTCTTCAAATTTCACCACACTGTAATACGAAATGTTTCGTAATACCCATCGATTCCAAAATTTCAAGACTATTAACCTAATATAATTTTTCACGAATCTTGCATCCCAATTGTCAAAATATAATTTCGGGAAAATAGGCTTGAATATTTTTAAACGAGTTTCGAAATGATCATCGTACGAGTTAATATTTCTTTTTCACGTTTGCTCTAAATATTTTCATAGAAATGAATTTTAAAATCGAGAAATACGTGCAGGGAGAATCGATACTACTCTGTAATTCACTGAACTTGCAATCTTTTCACTGTTC